ATAGTATGTCTTTTTATACATGCTTGACCACTAATTTCGTTCATTACCATCAGATTTTAACACTTTCTTCATCGAGATCAGACTGATGACGATATTACATGCTAAACGATATTAGATGCAGTTACCCTATATGACTGTTTATAATAATATAAAAGTTGTTAAGATCTTCACTTTATTTAGAATTCAACAGAGTTCTTAATAGAGTGAAGAAATTTCTGTTACATTCCAAGTTTTGTAAATTGGGTCAAAAAGATCTGTATTTGCATAAACATCCGCAGCCTTTGGAGTGCTCTAATTAGAATTAGGGTATCGAGGTGCTGATCGGCACAGAAAAAAAATATTGAAGATTATAAATGTAATGTAGAAGGTGAAAAGATTTAAAGAGACGCGAACAACAGGTTGAAGACCCGGAGTACAACTGCTCTAATTTCGGTTAAGCGTATGTTTTTCAGTATTTATTATTCCTTAAAGCATAGTTCTTCTGGCATATTTTCTTCTTATATTTACTCTGAACTTTTGTTGAAATCAAGAAGAAATACAGAGAAACTGAGAAATAATTGTTCTATGAAACAAAGAAGTAATTATCTAGATTTACTCAATATTATAAGATCTTCATTTTTCGATTGTTTTTTCAAAAGCAATTTTAAATAAATTCTGTAGTAGCCCCTATATAACACCGTGGTTAGGTTTCAAAAACTAAAAAAATTATACTATTCTACACAATTCTTTAACCGTATTAGGTCGAAACTATATGTATTGCAGGAATACCATGTTATTCGGGGGTTTCCCCAATTCTCCAACCGCATTATGGGAATTCCGTGCTGTACAAGGGTTGTCTGTATTCAAAGAAATCGTAAAAGAACGCATAAAATTAAAATAAAAATGATCGAAAATTACCACATTATACATAAAGCAAAAATACGAACGAAATGATTGGAACATCTACGATTAAGAATTCCGGAGAAATTCTAGCTTAAGTGGGGACAATAGAAGTACTTCCGTCGCATGATCTCCTACGAGGCTTGACGTTTGCGAGACCGATAAAATTTATTACTATTTTCAATTCAATAATCACACAATGGCTTATAATAACATCAAATCTCAACATATAATTAACCCTATAACGCTTGAATTTGTATTTTAAAAGAAAAACTTTTTTATTCTTTATTTCCATATTTATAAGCATATAAATTCTAAAACACATCTAGAAATGTCAGGTTTACTTTTTTTGATATGTTACGAAATCGTCACGTTCGTCTTTAGATTAACACCTCAAACAGTCTACTTTCTGAATTAACCCTTTAAAATCAAACGTTACGAAAACGTCATACTTGGAGTTATATGGTTAAACGAAGTATGCAATGTATAATGAACTGTTGAATAATAACCTCAAGATTAACTTTAACCTTAAACAGTCTTATCGAAGTATTGCATATTCGAACACATTTCCAATCGATTGAATTATTCAGTGATACACAGTAATTTCCAAGTTTGTTCGCGGAAGGCTATTATTTCTGTATCATCAACTTACGTACAAAAAATTCGAATTTTATTTTAAAATTAGGAAAACTTTATCACAAACGGTCGATAAACGTATAGATAATAAGAATATATAAATAGGAATTACATCAAAATTTGTACACTTAATTGTTATTTCAGGAATACATATGTAAACGTATTTGTGAATCACTTATCTATCACCTTATTTAATCCTATCCTTGCAATAGATTCAAACGTAAACCGTATGCAGCAAACGGCAGATATCTAAAGCCAGGGATCCACCGACAAGTTAAGCTAAGCTATGGTATGCTATGCTATGCTATGCTATGTTTAAAAGTCTTTGCATCAATGCATGTATACGGAAGCACTTCTACAGCATACATACATACCTACAGCTTAGCTTAGCTTAGCTTTCCAGGTGGATTCCCGGCTTAACTGTGATCGACGCTACGAATAGGAAAACTTTTCGTCAGTGACAACAATTGCAGAAAATTTCAAGCTACACAGTGACTACAGTTACAATAGTATGGTCTTGCACCAGTATCAGTTGTTGTTAAGAACACATCACCGACATTCGTTGGCGATTGATATCGATTGAACACCTATAGGTATCAACAGCATACTTTGACGAAATTTTGAAACGCCAATAGGCGCCAATAGCAGAGAAAGGGTTAACAGTGGTAAAAATTGAGACCATTAATTTTTGCTATAATATATATATCTAGATAAACAAAATTAAAAATACTTTGAAGTTAGTAACAACTTCAAGAGAAAATGAAGGGTCTCGAAGCCACTTTTTCCATCGGGTTTGTAAATCCACCGCGGTTCAATTTTAAATCCAGTGGGAACGCGATTGCAAGGATCAGATCTAATGTTTCAATAGCGGCGCGCGTTTGCGAAAGAAGAAATTATACCGTTTCGCAGTCGTCGTGGGTAAAATGAAAGTCGATATTTCATTATTGAAGTCTCAACCAACGCGATGAAACGGTAGAAGACACTTGCTGCGTGTTTCTGGGACGAGGACTTAAAAGGAGAGCGTGGTCGTCCTAAACTCGTAGGAGTACTACTGTCGTTTACGTATCAATAAACTTTCCAAGTCCCGGTTCAGAATTTTCGAGCTACAATTCTCGTCTTTCTCGTTTTATAAAATTATTCGTCAGAAAATTGTTCGACGAAAATACTTTATATTTGCACAGAAACATACTGCCATCGTTTACGTATCGATAAAGTGTAATATAAAGAATGCGAATCTTGATTTACCATTTACGAAACACCGTTATGGCTTTTTTTTTTAAATTAATTTATGAAAAATGAAATTCATAACACGTTCAAAAATATCTTACTATGAACAGTAAGTTTCGTAAGTTTTCACTCCAAATTTCAAACAGAATTGTTTTTATTATTCACCAAATTTTTGTTGTTAATTGGTTTTGCGAATTTTTATTCAGTGTATTAGATTTTTGATTTCTTATCTCTTATAGAAATTTCTTAACTGCAAATCCCATTGTGAGAACACACCTATAATCGCGCGTCATTTTCTGTTCTAGAATTCAGCTTAATCGGTCGCTAGTTTTACAATAAATAAAACACGTAATACACACCTACGGAAATAACATTTACATAGTGATTCGTTCTTCCTTCCGTTAGCGGAACTACATTTTTCAAGGAACGTTTAAGGAGACGCATGAGTCAAAGAAGCCAGTGACTTCGAATAACGATGAGTCAGACTTATCGAATCGTTCGATACACGGATTTCTGGAATTATGTGGGTCAATGCTTACTAGTTACAAAAATTCGTGATAATACTCATTCATATCAACAATAAAATGTCCTAAATGACGAACGTTAAATCACTAAAAATCGGAGGAAAATTTTTAGAAAGGATTTATAATAATAGGTACCGATATATTTCTCCAATTTAAAGATCATTCTGCATATTAGTAACGTATACTAATATTAATATATTGGTGTAATTATAAATTATTGATGTGAATTTACTTTCACCTCTCAAATGAAAAACTATACGACTAACAATATGAAAATTCAATTTTTGTAAATTAACAAAATTAATGAAACACGAATATAAAAATATCTTCTATAATTATATTTTCTCAAAAGTTCACGACTTTAAAGCATAATTTGCAGTGGTTTTTGAAGAACGTTCATGGCTGCAGGCCAAAATATCAGTATTAGCCTCCGTCGGCAAAGTATTAATTTATCAGACATTTATTAGAATGAACGTAATAAAATTCTTAAAACATTCAATATCAGCTGTGACACGAGAAGGAATTGTAATTACAATTCAGAAGCAGAAACTTATGTAGGATCGAATGTGGATCGACTTTAAATGATTTTCTTAAATTAATTTTCGTGAAATCATGAGACAATGTTTCATATAGTTACTTCTGCACTTACGATTTAAAGGTACGGTATATACTGACTGCACGCCTAAATATCCAAAAGATAAACATAATACTCATCTTCTCGTCAAAAAGAACCACTTAAAAGCTTAAAATCAACTACAAACACAACAACTTTCCTCCGGATATCTATAGATACACTAATACCCCAGTCACAAATGACTCACACCCTCACCAAACCTTTTATAAACAAAATCCTTATTTATCACAATAGATCACTGCTTAATAGGATACTGTTTTTAACTCTGCGTTATATCACTTCCTGCTATGTCGCTGACCTGTGCACAGCGTAAATATATGCCCCTAACTTCTATTCCATTTAGTAATTTTATTCGTATATACTATTCTATATAATACTATTTTTCAATTAATATGTGGAATAATAGGAAAAATAGTTACTAATTGAAACGTGAAAAAAAGCCTAAAACTGATCAGAAACAATAGCTTGCTATATCCCTTGAAGACCGCATCAGAGGGTCAACTGTCACGTGGAAAGAAAAAATTTCTTTTCACTATCCCAACATATTGTTTCCTGGCAATTTCGTGCAGAAATATCTGTCATCGGCTACTTTCCATACGTTTGTGTTAAACCCTCTCACAGTCTATAAAACCGTTTAGTTTAACAAAGATTTGAAGAGTACTATCGAACCTTTAGATGTACGAAGAAATAATCCACTATGTATTTCTTTTTTAAAAAGTGGTCATTCAGTTTAAATTCCGAACATTTTCCCGCCGGTTTCTTTTTTAAAAGTGACAATGACTGTTGAAGAACTAGGGGCAAAAATTGCTGAAACGGCAATAGCTCTTGCTTTCCAAGAAAATAAATACTCAATTAAACAAAACGATGGGATTATTTACTGGTATACCTAATATAACGAATCAAACAATTTCAATCTCGATGATGCCTCGTCTAAATAAGAGTTTCGCTGTTGTCCATAATTTCAGTACACTGTGAAATGCTTGACCCAAACGAACTTATTACCGACCAATATTGGAGCACCAGAAAACGATCTAATAAGCCTCCAGTCACCAACATGCTAATAAATTGCTAAACCACTATTTAAAAAAAAAGGTACTCACCAGCCTCGACCGTGTCTGTCCCGGTACACCGACACCGCGAACCCAAACATGGACCTGGTCTCGTTCCGGTAAACAGCATAATGTTTCGTCTCCACGTTAAACGCGTCCGAGCACCAGGGTGGCGAACCAACGAAGATCAGGCCGATAAGGCCTGCGAAAACGTTCGCGAACCACATTATCGTTTGCACCTCTTGTCACTGATCCGCACGTGCAGTCACTTTCACACGCAGGGGTTTCGATCGAACTGTCGTACACGATCGCGAATAGGGGAATGAAGACGACACGAGGGGGTACCCAAGCCACACGATTTATCGTTCGAATGGTCGACGATCGATGGTCAGGATGCCGGTAACAGTTGCACCGTGGACGACATGTGGCTTTACACGAGGCCCTCGAGACACTAAAGGCCGAATAAGACACCACCGTAAATATGACGGGACCACCGAACCACGAGTGTACGTGTGTACGGGGGCACAGAGTCGGAGACGTCTGCTTGACGGACGGTCGCGGATAGACTGAGTAGAAGTCCGTTCTTTCAGTTACTCTTCACTCTCTTGACTCACGAGGGCTGCGACTCCCACCCACTGCACACGGTTCTGATGTTGCGCTCCGCTCCGCCACCGGCTCTTGTGCTTGCGTGCCCACAACTTCAATACGACTCGCCTCCGTCCGACCATTCCGCCGGTTTTTGCACGATTTCTTGGGTGTTTATCTGTACCGACCACCTATGTCATCTTACCCCGTGAGGAATGCTGAAAGGGTGTCAATGTGTTCCACGGCTGTCACGCGTTTTCCAACCCCCGGATTGACCCTTGTTTTTTGTCCTTGTTAGGGTACTGGGAATTCAATTTTACGGTATAGAAGCTATGATAGAGTACGGGATCAACGAAATTTAATGAACATTTCATCTTTCGTTCGAACCCTCTAATTTAGAAGGTAGATTTTTTTTGTGAACTGTTGTATGCAAATTTGAACGTATACAAATATACGTTGTTTAGTTGGCTATTGTCATTGAATGCTTGATATGAACTTCATGAAGCGAACACTTTAATGAAATTCAATATGGCATGCATTTTAATTGTATTATGATAAAAACATTAATCGAGAAAATTATTTTCTATTTTTGCAAATTGTTTTGTAGAAATTAAAATTTGCACAAATATCTGCAATAAGCAACTGAATGAAATTTGATTTGAATAATTGTAATTTTTTGTATTTTTATTTATATACTTTTATTAACTACTATTACGTTTTCTTTTTGGTGTTTAGTTACTCTTAGAAGGGGAACTTATATATGATATTACTGAGGTTAACTATATTGATATTGTTATTAAAAATTACATTTTCCTTTCTTTAATAACGAAAAAAGGAAGTTTAATTGCTAATTAAAGAATGCTAATTTATAGTAAATACTGACTGTATTTACACATTATGCACTATCTATGTTAACTCTCGAATTGCGAACTTTCATTGTAATGCTTTCTTAACAATTTACGCAATCAGTTGATTTTTATAAAAAAGCATTTTCAAAACTCCTTATCTTTATTTTTTATGTTTATATATTTATTTTGAGTGCAATATTAATGTTTGTATGCACTATTGCAAAATATGTATAATTATTTAAATCGAATTTAGCCGTTATTTGAGTGCACGTACAGCGCAGCTTGGATTATTTCGTAAATAAAACCACCGACAAGGTATAGAATAGACCTATCATCCAATGCTTTTTCCTGTCCCACGTTCGCAGGGCTACGTAGCCCTGTTACCATTTTAGTGTCAATACCCGACGTTACCGATAAAGCACGAATTCTGAATATTATTAGCACAAATGAAGTATTATATATTCCATTTATATTGCGTGTATCTACAGTAGACATTCGTTTCCCGCGCCACCGTTATCTGAACAGAAGCCACGCCCCTTGCTCACACGTATTTCTCGCGCACGTGCGCGTACCCTACTCTGTCGCCCAGCTCACCCAGGCCGGACACATACGGTGTCGCGTTTAACTCGCATATCTCATCACGGAAAGCGCAATGTATGTAATATTGTTTTAATAATGTTTTTATTGGTGCAATCAATATTGGTGGCAATTTGATTGCTCCTTGTCTCGGGGATCACGCGTAATGGGTGAAAGATGCTAACCAAGCTAGACATTTGCCACTAAAATATGTCACGAATTATTACCTTTTTCACATAATACCTTAATACTTTATTAGGCAGAATGTTTGGAAGAATCGATTTATGTAATAAGAGTAGTTTATTCCATAATATTTCAATATCATTAATAAACATAACATAATTAACTTTGAAAACTTAGAAGATACTCCACCTACGAAAAACTAGTTACTGCTAGGTAATAGCCCTCTTTATACTGAACAATTTCTGTGAATAAACTTTTCTGATATCTCTAAAAATAACGGAGATAATTAAGGTAACCGTAAAGTGCACATATCCGGCCCACCCTATATATAGCTGTGTCGCACGACTGAACGACCGAGTGGTGGGGAAAGCGCTCGGGTAACTGGTGTTCGATTCCTGTACGGTTCCTGGACTTCTGGTCCTCTACAGCCCCGACCAGTGCGGGAAACAAATGTCTATTGTACTGTAAATGTATCGTTAATGGACATTTTACTAATGTTACTTTTTACATGTTATTGTTTTATTTGTTTTTATATCTTGCCTTACATTTGGATATTTGTATCAGATAAATTCAGAATAGATGTAGTTTCATAAATAGTTTATCAAATCTACATGTGGGAGAATATACACCGCTTTTATTAACGTTTGCATATTTATAATTTATATGGGAATATGAATAGTTTTACTGCCTATTGTAAGAAATTTTATTTATTGCGAGTAATTAAATAATGAACGTATGTTAATATTCAGCTACGTGTCTCTCAAATTAAGTGAAATACATAAGTTTTATTTAGATGTCGTATCGGATGATTTCGTTCAATTTTTCAAAACATTAAGATACCTATCTCGGAAACGGTTCAAGATTAGAAACTAAAATTTTACACAATTTAGTTTCTTGTGGTTGTCAACAAATGCTGCAAATTTGAAAAAAATTGGTCATTAATATCGCAGTTCTGTGCGTTTCGACGTGGAATGGCTCATTAAGACCCGTTTTCAGGATGCTACAAATATATGCAATATACATACATATATCATAGAATTATTAGTAATAAAATAAAAATAAAACTCCGAAGTGTTCCATTCCGATTTCACCGAGCTTGTACAGGTTCGGGGTTGGATTTGTCGAAATTTGTATTCGCGTACAAAAAACTAATTACTTTTAATATGCCATTACGAACACGTATATCTATTCATTGTTCCATAAATTTAAACAAACAATATATTTTTTAATTTACAATGACAAATATATTCATTATATATGAAAATCTATTATTTGTTATTTTGCATTATAATTCACCGTTCTCATAACGTAGAGAGCAGCAGAAAATCCCTGACTTTTTACACGATCACATAAGATGATAGGTCTATCCTACACCTCATCGGTGATGATAGATCTATTCTATACCTCGTCGGTGCTATTATATATGTATATGTATATTAAGAAACATGTAGTATTTAGTTTTATTTGTAGTCATAAGGACGATTTGATTAATTATATAGTAGATTATATTTTGACATACATTATTAAGAATTATTGTAATTATTTAAATAAGATAATTATAGGTAAGTATATTCGGCGTAAGGCGAGAACATGTAAGCTAATAAGACAAGCGATGTCTATTAGCGCAAAAAGAAAAAAATATAATCGGTTAAATAATTTGTAATATTGTGAATAAATTATATTCTATATGTATAAATATTCGACTGTACATTTTTATTGTCCAAATATACAATACTATACTAATAAATAAGGGATGCATTTAATACAAATTTGGAACGTCCGCCATTGGTCATATAGTAAACCTACATCTCGGTAGAGGATGCTAATGTCGTGTTAACAAAATAATGTATTGAGTGAAACACCCTGGGACATCGAAACCCCGGGCGTTAGCACTCTTATTTCTGCTCATTTCCTCTCTAGTAACACTGGCAGCGTTCAGAAGACACAACGGGTGCGTTCAGGAGACACAACCGTTGCGCAACCGTTGAGTGATTTCACTAGATTTGCCTCTGAACGCTACCGCTCACTTTCCAACTACTCAACATGTTTAGTGATCGATCACCATGTTTTGTAGCGCAAATAAAATACACTATCTTTGCTCAACGTGTTGTGATTCAAAATGGCGGAACCCAGTGGATCCAATTTTATTTATTAATATCCATAATGTAATAAATATTATTTTTATTTTATAATGTAATATCCAATAATGTAGATTATGTATTTTATTTTATTTTTTCCATTTTAAAACTATCACGAAATTAAAATATTTATACTTACTTCAAAACGTATGTGCGACTTTCGAAAATGTTCCTCAAATAAATTATTGGAATTATTACTTCTAAATCATTATCTATTGGTTGTTTCAAGTTATCAACTAACATTTTGATTACATTGAAATCTAATCCGGATTCAAAACCAATTAGTAGAGCTACATCGGCTGCATCCATAATTTTTAATGTAATATTTTGTAAACAATAACAGTCAGCACTGCCATGATGGTACCACCGACGAGGTTATGTTCTGAAATACCGATAGTGTAAAAAGTCAGGGATTTTCTGCTGCCCTCTACGTTATGAGAACGGTGAATTTGTGAACTACATTAAATCCATTTGAGCTCAACTAGTCTAACTTCTACAGTGTTGTCAAGTCTAAAGTACAATGTTGTCAGATCATGAGTGTTCGGTACGTCGGAAAATCATCGAAGGGACCATGGTCGTGAACGGATTCTCTTCCGTCCGTTCACTGTAAAGTAGACGTATTAGAAAGGAGTCATGGGTTCGAATCCCGACGGACCTATATTAGTTTTTCTTCGCGTACAAAAAAGTTATTGCGTTTAATATTGTTTTTATGGATATGTATATGTATTATTATGTACATTTGAGTAAATTACTTTATTATTCCATTGTTATTACAACAGTTTAACAGTGATAACGAACGCATGCATATTTTCAAATATCGGACTAATAGTATCTTTTTATTCTATATTATTACATATAAGTGAGTAATACGTATCAAAAACGTAATCGAAACACAGA